CCTTCTGCCAAAACACAGTAGTGAAGACTATGCCTGAGACACAGAAATGCCTCTGAACAAATAACTCCAATCATTCTACCTAAACTTTAGGGAAGCTGGTAGGTTTGATAAGCTGAGTATTGAGCTTTGCCACTGCCTAAAAGATCCTGCTCCTTTCCTCTTTTTGCATTGTCTTTCAATAACGTTCTCCTGCTGCTTAACCTGTACCAGCATGAGGGACCACTGGAACTTCCCAGCTGTCGATTCAGTTCCCTCACAGGGCAGAAAACAGCCCAGCTGTGCACTTTCTCCTGAAAGATCTAATGAGCAGCACCACCAGGGAGAGAGGAAGGAAAAGAGCAGGAGCAGAGCTAAGGGAAGTGACACATTCTGCACTTGGGATAGGGCAACCCTGGATGTATGGACAGACTGGGGAATGAGATACTGGAAAGCAGCACCACAGAAAGGGACCTGCGGGTTCTAGTTGCTGACAAGTTGAATTTTAGTCAGCGGTGTCCTGGCAGCCAGGAGGGCCAACCCTGTCTTGGGGTGCATCAGCATCACCAGCCAGACAAGGGAGGGGATTGTCCCACTCTGCACTGAGCTGGGGCAGCCTCACCTCCAGTGCTGGGAGCTGGTTTGGGTAACAAAATACAAGAAAGATACAACGCTATGGGAGAGTGCCCAAAGGAGGAGCGCAAGTCAAGGCCTTGCCTGAGGGAAAGCCATATGAGGAGCAGCTCAGGGAATTTGGTCTGTTCAGCCTGGAGGAGATGGAGATGAGGTCTCATCACAGTCTACAACTTCCTCATGAGGGAAGAGGAAGGGCAGACACTGATGTCCTCTCTGTGGTGATCAGTGAGAGGACTTGCGGTAGTGGCCTCAAGTTGTGTCAGGGAGGTTTAGGTTGGATATTAGATAAAGGTTCTTCACCCAGAGGGTGTTTGGGCACTGAACAGGCTCCCCAGGGCCTGTTGGTCACCACCACTGTCAGCACCAGCCTGACAGAATTTGAGAAGCACTTGGACAATGCTCTTGGGCACATGGTGTGACTTTTGGGGATGGTTCTGTGCAGGGCCAGGAGTTGGATTCCATGATCCTCATAGGTCCCTTCCAACACAGCATATATTCTGTGATTCTCTGCTTGCCTCCTTTCATTGTGAACCAAAATTAGAGAGCTGAGCTTAAGTAGGCTTAAGACATGAATCTTTATTCTCTGGAGCAGAGTAAAATCACACTATCACTAACATTTACAGGCCTGAATGGGACTAGGAGAGAGAATCTGGGCCTTTACTAAGCTGGGATTGATTTTAACTTCAGTGGGATCAAGTCTTCAAATGTGCAGAACAGTAATGTATTTTTCCAGTTTTTTTCATTTTGTTCTGTTCTTCCCCATTCACTGCTTATAATGGGACCACACACAGGATTAAAGACACTACAAATCTAATTGCAGTCTGGAATGAATTTAAGGAGATGTAAAAAAATGGGGGAGGGTGGAGCTAAGCTGGTTTTCTCTAACACAGCTTCACAAGATGCTTTGCTGGAATACTTACAGTGTTATAGAGGCCAATTCTTCCTGAAGCTTTTAACTAATTTTTGAAGTTAGTGAGAATTTATGGCCTTTGGCACAACTTTTAGCATACTAGAGAGTAAAAAAGAAATTCAAGAGTTGAGCATAAACAATGAAAATTGCATGTAGGTTTGCTCTGTGAAGATGACAGATGATTACAAGCTCTTGAGTATCAGTTAACTTAGAAATTATCAGTTTGCACTTATTTTTCATGTGATCTCATTTATCACAGAAATGGTTGCTAGGATGTTATGCTTTGAAATTTGAAACTTTCTCCAGAAAAAGAGCAATTGTGAGAAGGCTTTTTTAAAATCTATTTTCTCTTTGGCAGTCTCTCTATGGTGAAATTATTGATGCTAAATGGTTTTCTTATAACAAGACTTCATCTTACAAGCATCTATACCTAGACTTAATTTATGGTTTATGTTAGATCTCTGAGTGAAATTAAGCATGCATAGGACATATGTATTCAGCTGACCTTAAACTCCTGTTAACTTTCTGTGCCTCATATTTTCTCTTTGCTCTTGGCAATTATGTTTCCAGGTTACTGTTTAGATCATGGAAATAATTTTTCAGTGGTCAGTAGCTTTCACCACTGAACAAACATGGAGACTCATGTAAAATGGAAGCTGTGTGTGTATGAGCAGAGTTGCTTAAAACCCCAGTGAGATGATGAATAGTGAACATTACATGCCTGCATGGCACCTTGGCTAAGTCCTCTCAAATCCCAGTCCCTGGGAATTTTTAGCAAGTCTTGTGACTTTCCTCTCACCTTTTCTGTGTCAGGGTAGCTTTAAACTATTCCAGATGATGCAGATGGAACTGGGATTCTGTCTACAAGCACTGGAGATCATTTTTGACAGTCATGGCTGGCTGCTTTTGGCACAACCTTGCCTCGTGCTGAGCAGGACAGTAGTTGGCTGCTGTAGGGAGCAGCCAGGCAAGAAGTCCTGAGTGAGAAGCAGAAATAGGAAAAGGTAAACAGACTAGAGAGCCCTTAATCCATGCAATGGGAGCAGCCCCTGGAAGGAACAGGTCAGGGATCTCAAACAGGAAGTCAATACTAACCTTGTTTTGTATTTCAGAAAGAGGAGATTATACTTTTCTTCTAGAAATCCTGAAATACACACATATACCTATGAATATAAATACTTAGCTGGATAGTTCTGATCTCACCAACAGTTATTTGAATATTATATACTGAAGAATCTTTCTTGTGAATTGGAGACCCAGGAGGCTTGACACTTTATCCACTTATATCCTTTTCTTAAATGACTAGTTAATGCCAGGGGAATTAGTCCCCATATGCAATACTCGTGACTTAATTTCTGAAGTGTCAGAATGGGGCCAGGTAAGTCAACAGACATGTAAGCCCAGAAATGTAATGGGATCCTGATTCAAAAGATAACAGGAATCGTGTTCATTGCACTCAAACTGTGACTGAGAAAAGGATTTACATCCTAAAAAATGAGCATTACATGCTATTGTCATGAAAAGAAAGCACAAATTATAAAGAAGAATCCAGCTCACTCCTCAGAACATCTGGGGAAAGCAGATGGATAAAAGGCTGCTTCCCAGGAATATACAGGAGGCAGAGTGATCCACCTGCTCTCTGCTGATAGCTCCTTCATCTGTTTCCTGCTTGTCCTGAAGTCTTGGGAATCATGAATGGTTTTGGGGTTGCAGGAAGGATGAAAAATTGACTCGGAGATATTGGGCAAAATGCGAGGATAAAGATTCCAGTTAAATGCCTGAAAGATGAACAGGGTGTTGGGCTGGAGGGAGAGCACAGTCACTTGCTGTGCTGCAGGTAACTGAGGGAGCAGGGGGTGGGGACAGAGAAGATTATTTTGTTCTAGTGTGGGATTCTCCAAGCAGGTATGAGCTCCACATTAGGAAGCAAACATTAAGCCAAATCTCTATAAAATGATTTAAATCAAGTCTTCTAGGAACGGCTCATAAAGCTCTGACTAACATGGAATCTCACTAGGAATCTGAGAGAAGTTGACAACCATGCAAATGCCACCCACTCAGCTGGTGGTTGTGGGTCCAGAAATCAGGGCATGCCAAAATCTGCAGGACAATATCTTACAACAATAAAGCAAGTCTGCTCTTTGTTGATGGTGTCACTGTGGCTCCCAGGTAGGCTGGCAGTGGTGTGTCTGCAATCCTCCTTTGAGTGTACCAGCTCTCTGAGTATCCCTCTCCACTGGATGGAAGAGACCTGCCCCACAGACAGCTGCAGGGAATGCCATGGTTTTCTGATGTCCTCTAGCCAGATTTCATGGCTTGCTAGAGGTTTTGCAGCACAGGCTGAGTGAAGCAGCTGAGGATGTGAACTGGTATGCTGGGAAGGAGGGAGCACAAGAGCATGTCTCCAGAGAGCAAGGATGGGAGCTCTTCTGTGGCTTATAAGCATCTATCACAGCAGGGTACAGGCAACTGGAGTAGTCTCTTCTTGCTCAGGATCACCCAGGAGTCTAATTTAGGCAACTACAATCCCAGACATAAAACTAAAATGCAGCGTGTGTGACCACTGAGGTCCTGCATGAGGTATTCAATCACTTTGATGGCATTTTTCTTTGTCTGCAAACTGATAGGTTTTGTTTGGGGGGGGGAGGGGGGGAAAAGGAATTTTAAAGCTGAATAAAAATCAGTGCTTAAAAAATATATAGCCTATGCTTCCTTGCTGTTTATAGGCCTCTACTGTGGTAGTGCTGCTGCAGCTGCCAAACTGTGTAGATTGGCTCAAAGTTATTGTAACAACATTCATTTCTTATATGTGAGGCAGTGTAGGAAGAACTGTCTTTTCAAAAATCATTAACGAAGTATGGGAAGATAAAATAGATTACTTATAAACAGATATTTTTACCTAAAAGAACTTGATTATATTAGAAGTTCTGGTCTATAAATATAATAGTTTGTGAACTGTTCCCATCTGTCTTGTCCCTGTCCTGTGTCAGTAGGGGGAAGTAGTAACTAAGACCTTCTCTGGCTTAGATACTAAGTGCTTTCATCAGAGTATTTTTGTCCACCCTCCTTTCTCTCCCACTTTTACATCAGCAAGAAGTTTTATGTATATTCTGCTATGAGACATTATATCTATTATGGAAAATTACTGACAACTGCTTTGTCAGCAATGTTTATGTCCAAGTAAATCTTCTTAGTTTACAACATTTTTTGTTAATCTGGATTAAAATACTGCAGGTGCTTCTCCCTGAAAGGTATTAATATTGTTTCAATTAGGCTAATCACTGTAACAGCAGTTTTCTAAAAATTGCAGTGATGGTGGCTTCAAGGCATGCAGCGTGAGCAAGGACACCTCTTGTTCCCCATCCAGACTTAAGGCTGTGCCTCCAAATCCTGAGCCTGCTCCGAGCTGAGCCAGTTTAGCTCCACCCTCTGAGCAGTCCAGCCCTTATTTATATGAAGTCTGTGGTCCAACTGGCTTCAGATGGTGTGTGTTATGTGCGTGTGCCTGCCTCCTGAGTGTGTGAGACGAGCTCGGATCATGAGCCAGGGTTGTTCCAAGTGGTTTTAATCAGCAGCCCATTAGAGGAGAACGGAAAACTTCAAACAGGGTAAGAACCGAGTAAGTAAACCTAACTTTGAACTTGCAATCTGGACAAAACAAATGCAAATTAAAATCTTCATAGTCTGTCAGTTTTCAGATAAATTATCACTTTTAGAGAGAAAGCTGTGCCTTCTAACAGGAAGAAGGAAATTTAAAAGGACTGGAGTGAAGGAAACTGTAAAAACAAAGTGGGAATTGAGAATGCAAGAGAGAAAAAACAGCAAACGATTGTTCACAAAGTTGGTACACTCTCTTACTTTTTTCAGCTGTGGACAGGACATGTTAAGCTTTAACCTCTTGCTTTCTTGAATACTATTGTCTGGCTGAGTAAGTAGTTCCTTTTGCTAAGGGAGTGAAGATTTCTGCTCCTCACCTGTCTGCTGGCAGGTTTGTTTTCCTGAGAGCATGGAGTGCAAGAGCTCTCCACAGCTCCCTGCAGGATGCCACATGGTGTGCTGCTGTTTGCTGCTGCTCACTTGCTGTTTTTCCACAGGTTGTTCCAGTAACTCCATGGGAAGGTGTTCCCCAAACCTCTGCTCCTCTGGAACTTGTGACTTCTTGCCTGGCACCAGGAAAACACTCAGCAGCAGGAATGGGAAAATTCATGCTAGTTTTGGGTAAAGTGTGCCTCTGACGTTTTTTACCCTGGCAAGACGTGGCTGCTTGGACTGCAACTGCAATGTGGCAAAGGGCAGAGTGAGGTGGGCAGAGAGGCCATGGTGTGTGGGCAAGTCCCCAGATGCCGCAGGCTTTGTCGCCCCCGTCCCTTCCTGCTGGCCTTAGTGGTGGCCCTCTGTCTGTTCTGCCAGACCCTGACTCCTCTCATGACCAGCAGCATCCTTTCGGCAGTTGTTAATGGGATTGCACCCAACAAACTGGCTAAAACACAGCGAGGAAGATACAAGGAGGTCTCCCCAAGCACCATTCACTGCTTCCTCCCTGGCAGCAATTCAGAGACAGTGAAAAAGGTAAGTCAGCTGGAGCAGAGTGCTGAGCAATAATTAGCAAAGCGAGGGATAGCAAGTCTGGCAGGATCATCTGAGTCCAGCTAAAATTAGCCTAAGCTTGGAAGTCTGGGATCTGTATACAAACAAATGGGTGATCTAATGACAGCAGCATATGCACAAGCACATTCCCATTACCAGCTCCTCAGTGTGCTGTTATTAACACAGGAATCCTGAAATCTTCAACTGAAATATGGCATTGCTCTGTGACTCCAGGAAGATTTCAGTTTGCTGCACAGACCTTGCTTTATTTTGGCTTTGGGAATTGGTTTAGAGGCTTTACAGTACAGGCACGTAAATCAGGAGCCAGTGGGGTTTCATGGAAGTGACTGAGGCTGTTAACTGGCACAGGGACTGCAGCTGCCCTGTATTAAAGTTAGCTGCTTGTCAGCGCTGAACTTTACTGGGATTCTGCTGAGAAGCTGAATTTAACTGCATTTGAGAAATAAAAGTTAAATTCAGCATCTCAAATGCAAAACTGCATTTGAGAAATAAAAGAATATTTTCAAATCACACTGTATACTTTGGAATCTCTGTCCCACAAATTTTACTTTGTTCATAGGTCACCTGACTTCATGTTTATTTTGTATAGGGTTCCTAGGATGGGTGTTAAAACCTAACAAATGGAGACGCTCTTATTTTTGTTGGAAAATGTAGTTTGTTAAATGGTCTCCAGACTGAGGTAGTTATTTTTACTCTGGAATCTGTGATCAGCACTAGCACAAATGTTTCAGGTTTCCTTCAGTCCTATAGAGAAGCTGCTAACAGTGCAGCAGATAGCACACATTGAAATTATAATTATGCTAACATTTTCTATAGAACTTTAGGAGAATTGTAAAAGATTTGTGACCTCACAAATTATGGACAGCAACCACATAAAGCAGTTCATATATATAAAAAAAAAATTAAAAAAAGTACCAGGCTGCTTCTTTGATTAGACAGAGTTCATAGTCTAAAAGGTCAGCAATATTGATTTTAGGAGAGCAGCTGTAAAGTGCATCTTTTGCAACAATCAAAAACAGATACGGGGAATAACTGTGGCATGAGCTCTTTAACCTTAACTCTTAAAATACTGGGTGTTTTTCTTACAGCACATGCTGCATTTGTCACAATTTTATATTTTAATGGCCTTTTAGTACACTAGGTACCCAGATTCACATCTGATCTGCAATATGACGTAAATAATTACAACTTAAATGGAAATAAGCATAGCTGACACATGGGTTGCATTCTGTTACATCTATAGAAACAGTCCATTCCTTTTTACTCATTGCTGTTGTAATGGCAAAGAACATTTCCTACCTTGGGGTACTCAATGTCTGCAAGAACTGGTGAAATAATGGCAAAGTATTTGTTAGTGTGCTGCTTCGCTGAAAACCTCTGTAGTGTCCTCTTCTGTAAATTGCCTGAGAAAAAACTACAGATTGACATCCAACTTGGTGTGCTGGCCAATCGAAATGAGAAGAAAGCTTTTGTTTTCACAACATGCTGTACTTAACTCCTCTCCAGCATAAGTGGTTGACTGTGACTATGACATGCACATGCTGGACCTGTAGTACAGATGTGTGTATATTAGCCCTTACAGATATCTTTTCCAGGGCTGTGCTACCTTAACACATTCCTTTTCAAGTTCTTGAGACCACCCATAGCTGGCTCCCTGTTTGTCTTGAATTTTTCCTCTAGAGCATGATGAACAAAATTTCTTGCACATGTTGGGATGTCACTCTAAGTTGCTCTCTGTTTCCCAACTTTCTCTGCTGGTTGTGTGGGCTGAATAATAATCTCAGAGAACAGAAAAGACAAAACTCGCCAAAAATCTCTACCACTTTGCTTTGAAAGTGTTTTCTTGAACTGTGTGTTTTCATCCACTTCTTATTCAAATAGCTGAACTGTTATCTGGCTTGATTTTATTGGGCACTCAGTAACATCTAAGATGTCACTGCTGAAACTTTACACTGTTTTATTTTACAGTCACGTGCCCACTGACTGGAGCTAGTTTGGAAACAACTTTTCATTAAAGCTCTGGTTAAAATCTCCATGTATGAAGCTGGAAAAATACTTTAAAATATGGTTATTCACATCTGTAATTAACTATTCATACATGTGTTCTTATTCAATAAATAGTCCAGCGAGAAAATTTAAATGCATTAAAAAGAATCTATTATACAGTTAAACAGTGACTTAAAGCAAACACTGCAGCATGTCTTATGAAATCAAAGTTCATGAACACATTTTAAGGAAAATAAGACCCTGCTGGAGATAGTATTTTTTAGGTAGCACATAGTGTTTAGGGGTTTTGAGTGATAGCATGTTACACTGCAGATTCTCTTCTGCGTAGGGGCAGGTTTTGTTCTTGCTTCCTTCAGAAAACCTCCAGTACTGTGAGCCTGTTGTGAGAATTTGGTTCTGATTGTTATTACAGGGGAAAAATGCTCTTCCAAAATCTAATAATTTCTTCATTAAGAGTATGCATAGAACTAAGTGCCTCAAAATACCCCCACAAAACCAAACCAAACAAAAAAAACCTGGCATCTTTTATGGTCCATATGCTAGAAGTAAAGGAAGAGATCTTAGCGAAAGTCCAGCTTTGCCAGTTTCTGATATCTGATGATCTCTGATATCAACTTTCACCTAATTTTGGAGAGTTACAGACAAGTGTGGAAGAAGCATGGGGATGGACATTGTCAATTACATCTGTAAATGTGTCATCCAGGGTGCTCTGAGATGGAGCCCTTCCTGTTGGGCACATAGTGCAAGCTTTTTAAAATTGCAAAAATGCAGATTCCATTCATAGCCTGGAAAACCAGGCAGAGCTCATAGTACTTCTCTCCCTGGTATCACACAGTTTAAAAAGCTGACTGAGATCTTGTCCTGAAGCTTTAAATTCACAGAAACAGAGGTCAACATTTTCTAGTACAAAATTAAATGTTAATATCTGAAGCATGAAAAATAGAAAGCCTATTTCTGATTCTCCAGCAGTAAAGGCAGTAGAGATTGATCTCACATCCAGCAGAAAGATGTCTGCAGGTTTAGCAGGGCAGGAATGATTAAATATTTGTGAATATATGTAGTAGGAAGAAGAGCTGGTGCTGTAGCATCAAAATGGAATAGGTATCAACAACAACAAAAAGCCCCATACAAGCTCTCTGTGTGGTTTTCCTGGCACTGTATTGTGCCAGAAATACTTTTGGTACCTGCCAGCCAGCTGTAATACTGTTACACTTATCTTAAGTAATTTAACTCTGCTTCTTGGCCAGTTTTGAGAAGAGCTAATTATCTAGTTAAGCTGTGCTTCCACTCACAGAATTAATTCGGCCAGAGGCAATTTAGATGTCTCTGCTCACAAGTAATTTTGCCCAGGTAGATGGTGTACCTCTGCTGGGTAGAAGGAATTTAGACTGTACTGCTTCTAGGAGGGCAGATACCTGGTGTTGAGTTGCCTTCCCAGTCAAGGAAGACCCAAAACCACTTTTCCTTTTTTTCTTAAAAGGTCCAATTCCCAAGCCATTAAGCTTTATATCCAGGCTCAAGTTGTGAGCATATGGTTCACCATAATGGGAATTTCCGCTTGGTCCTGGAAAGCAAGATTCTTTCTTTTCCTTATTTCTTCCACAGATGGAGAAAAAGGAGGAGGAAATTATTAATCACCTTTTATAGTTATTATTCCTGTGATAGGCACTTTTTTGGGCATACTAGCTTTCCAGCTATTGTGAATGTATTTAAACAAAAAACTTCCCATTTTAAATTGGGTTCTGAAGGAGATTATTTATGGATACTCACCAGACTTTTGCTTCATATCCCCTGGTATTTAGGCCAGCTGAGAACAAGAAAACAGAGAAGATACACAGCTGATTATGTGACAACTTGATGAGTGGGTTAGGCTGGCATCCAAATAAATGAAATACCCCAGGTGTGTCGAAAATAGCGGTCTTCCTTTCAAGGCCCTGAACCTGCCACTTATGTTTTGTGTAAAAGACATATCTCAAAGAGGAGCTATACTGAAGTGAGGAAACAGCAAGGATAAGAAAAGGCTTTTTATGGCTTCATTTTGAACAAACAGGATAGGGTATAATTTCCTAGGAGTGGACAGTATGAAAGATTTGTGATAATGATAGCCTGACGTGGCCATATCTGAAAGATACTGTGTAGAAGAAGGGGAAAAAAGGGAAACGTCATGTTTTAGTCTTAACCAATGTCTAGAGGAAGATCCAGTTGAACATCTTGCATAGGTTACTGGGCCAAGCATCTATGTTTGAAAATTGACAGTGAAATTACTGAAAAGCTGAGAAAACGTTACTAGAACATTAGAACATTGAACATCCAGAGTGGAATTATCCTCTCTTTACTTGAGTGCTCCACTCTGTCAGAGGCAGAAAGCTGGACTTCACAGTCAATGGAAATTAGACTGTGTCTAATGCAAAATTCATCATTAAGTAATGCAGACATTAAAAACAATTCTAGTGAAATTCATCCTCTAAAGACACATCTCCTTTTCTATTGGTATTTTTTAATGGAATATGCCTGCTTCAGAAAGAATAAGCAGGCAACAAAGGAGATAGGAGCTGAGTCTGTTATGGAAGAAGGGAAAGGAAGCAGATGGAGGAGAGTAGGGAACTGCAGCTGCAGAATAACAGTTACCTCAGAAAGTACAGAACAGATTGTGTACAGAGATGGTTGAATTTGTGCAAGGGAAGAGAAAGGGAGATGAGAATGGAAGTGGAAAGAAAATAAGACAAAGCTAATGAGAACTTTTGAAATGTAAATATCTGAAAAAGGAGAATTGAAGCTAGATGATAGAATGAGAAAAGATGATTTTTGCTATTATGCAGAATGGAGTGTGGTGAGAGCTCTGGATAGAAAAGATTGCATTATGCATAATAAGGTTTGATCCATTTTTAAGGCTTGATACATTTCTAAATAAATTTAACTTAAAAGCTGTTTTATAGAATAAGTAGGGGAATGAG